AGCCTTCTCCTTCAGTTGGCTGCCTAGAGCTAGGAGAGGCTCAGCTTTTCCAGAGGTCAGGATCTGAGACTTTTCCTGTAGTGCAAGGACTGAAGGTAAAAGAGAGAGAAATGGTGGGGGGGAGGAGTTGGGGGGGGGCGTGTGTGGAGGTAGAAGAAATTTTCAATCAAGAAAGCTTCGTTTTCCTTTAGTTTGAGCGAGGACTGGACAGGGTTGAGCATCCTATTCTACAGGGAAAATGACCATTCTGGTGTCAGAATACCTAAGGACTGAACCAGAGAGATTGGGTTAAAATTGATGTGGGTGGAAAAGAAGGGCTTTCTACAGAAAAATGGTGAGGTGAGATGAGGTGGGTCTGGGGAGATCTAACTCTAGCAGGGCTTTAGAATAAGAGACTCCTCACAAGCTAAAAAGTCAGGTGTGTATGTGTGTTGTTATAGAATTTCTGGAGGGTAAAGTTGAGCATTTGGATCCTTCCAACTAACTGAATTCTGACCCCTTCTTGGACTCGTAGCTTGTCAAATTCGTTCTTTCATTTTTCTCTTCCTCCTCAACCCCCTCCTCCTGGTGTCTGGATCATGTTGTGTTAAGATTTCACCAGAAGCTATACAGGAGCTCCTGGACAAGATCTAGAGGTAGGGGGAGGAGGAGGAACTTGGAAGAAGAGAGTGTTTAAAGTTAATCTGTGACCTCACTCTCCACCTCAGGCTCACCATGACAGCTCCAGAAACCCTGGCTCAGAAATCTTAATTAGGCGATAGCCTCAAACCTGATTAAACTGCCCCCTTTCCTTTTTATTTATGTAATGAACACTTACTGTGTGCAAGGCTGTAAGGAAGCCAAGATAAACAAGTCATTGTCAGTGCCATCAAGATACTCCTAGTCTACTATAGACACATAAACATTTCATTAAAGATGGATCGTCTGAGACTCAAGAAGCTGTGGTGGTTGGGTTCCAGCCTCTCTCTGAGCTAGTTACATGATTGGGCTTGTTCTGCCCCAACATAGCTTATGTTTGGGCACAGTTATGCTCCATTAGTATAAGTTGTAGGCCAGTAACAAATTGTGTGACCTTTGACAAGTTTATGCCTTTCAGTTGGTTCCGTTCATAGCGACTTTATGTATAGTTTCAGAAGAGCAGCTGGTGGGTTTAAACTGCAGACCTTGTGGTCAGTCCAGTGCTGATTCTACAGCACCACACCAGGAGTCAAAACCACCTCTGTAAGGTGATCTTAAGGCTCAAATGAGGTTAAGGACTATTCAAATAGGAAATAGCATGGCTATTATCATTGGTCCATTCCCTTATTAGGTGGCTTTCTAATTACCAGCCTTTATCTAGCCTAGAAAGAACCCCTGGCTCAACAGACTATAAAGACTTTAGAGATTATAGAGTTGGTGTGAGTTGGAATAGACTTGAGTGGGTTTGGTTTGAGCATCTAACTTAGAAGGATCTATGATGCAGCCATAGTTAAACTCTCAGCTGCTAACAGAAAGGTCAGCAGTTCAAACTCGCCAGCCGCTCCATGGAAGAGAGATGTGGCATCTCTTCCATAAAGAAGCCTTGGAAATCCTGTGGGGGTAGTTTTACTCTGTAGTATAGGGTTGCTACGAGTTGAAATTAACTCAATGGCAGTGGGTTTTGTTTTGTTTGATCTAAACTAGGGAATTCCTGGGTGGTACAAAAGGTTAATGAGTTCATGGGTTCAGCTGCTAATCTAAAGATTGGAGGTTCAAGTCCACCTGGAGGTACTTCAGAAGAAAGACCTGATAATTAACTGCCAAAAATGCAGCCATTGAAAATGTTACGGTGCACAGTTCTACTCTGAAACACCACGAATCAGAATTGACTCCATGGCAACTGGCATCTAACTCACATTTCTCCATCTGGACTTGGGATGGAGAAGGCAACTGCTTGTTGGATTTAGAAGGCACACAGTATGGGCTTGATGGTCAGCTCATTCTGATGCACATCACATTTTGTTATGTCCCAGGTACTTTGTTAGACACTTCTGCATTAGTGCATTTAATTCTCTTCTTAACAACCCTATCAGATTGGTATAAAATCATCTATATTTTACAGATGAAGAAAATTAAGCTTTATAATAGTGGTTCTCAAACTTTAATGTGCCTGAAAATTATCTGGTATGCTTGCTAAAAATACAGATGCCTGGACATACTCTCAGGAAGTCTGCTTCTCTTTAACAAGTATCCCAAGTGCTTCTGATGCTGGTGATCTGTGGACCACATTTTGATTAAGTTAGTGACTTGCCCAAGGGCTCATTGTAAGTGATAAGTCTGAACATAGGATTCCTAGACCAGTGCTCAGTACATGGTGCCCTAGGTGCTTCTGAGCCTTGGTTTCTGCATTGGAGCTGGGTGGAGGTAGGGGGTCTGAGGGGGTAGGAATTGGGGTGGTGGTGGCTAGCAATTCCTTCCAGCCTCCCTCCCTCATGGGCCCATTGTGAGAATAAAATGAGAGAATGTAGGAGCAGTCACTTTTTAAAATGTAGAACTGGCAGCTTTGTTAGTGATTATGTGAATACATGCAGATGAGCACCCGTGGGCTGGGCTGTTCACTTTGGGAGCCTGTGCATTTTGGGATGCCTGTTTCAAGTGATGGGTTAAGAATAAAACGGAAGGAATTTTGGTGGTGGGCCCTAACTGCTGGTGGCTGAATGACATGGAAGATTAGTGATGGTGGTATGGTACATGGGGAAGTGAAGGGACCTGAGGCAGTCCCTAGATTTCAGGGCCCTCTTGGAGGGAATGTGAGAATGAAAAGTGGATGGCTGAGAGTAGGGCTCAGAGCAAGAATCGCCGCTTCAGGCATAAGAGCTTGCTCTGAGACCTGCTTCAGGCCGGGGCCATAAGGACAACCAGGCATGGCTAGGCAAGTCCCCAACAGAATGTCTCAAGAGACACAAATGCAGGGTAAAGAGAAGATTAGTGATGGTGGTATGGTACATGGGGAAGTGAAGGGACCTGAGGCAGTCCCTAGATTTCAGGGCCCTCTTGGAGGGAACTAACTAGGAGCATGCAGTCTATGCTTGTGTCTGGCCCAAAGGCAGAGCACACTTTTTCTGTCCTGTGATTTCTAGGTGGGAACACTTGGAGAGACAAGCTAAGGTACCCCCTAACTCATTTGGCTAGGAAAGTCTTTTGTGTTGCCAAGCCTTCATTTCTCCTCTCTAATGAAACCTGAGCTGGGACTGAGCTTTACTAAAACCTTCAAATTTACATCATTCTCTTTCTGGTTAAACAACCAGCTGTTTCCACTTGGAGACAGTACAGCAGGAAGGCTGGAAGTGAGATTTGAAGATAGCCCTCTAAGGAGCCTACTGTCTCTTCCGCCAGCTTCTTCCACTTCCCATTTTTGCCCCTTTTCCCTTCTCCCCACTTGTATTCAGATTTGTCAGCCAGGACTGCTGGGCCCACAGGTGAGAGTTGACTTGTGATGCTTCTTCCAAGGGCTAGCTATTTTGAGTGTACCCTGTATTCCAGAGCTGCTGAGACCCCAGGAGTCTAGAGCTACTTCTGTTCAGGAATGCCATTCTTCCTCCCCCCGGCTTCCCTGGGAATCTAATGCTAATTTCAGCCTCTGGTCCCTGACTCATTCTCTTCTCTTCTCTGACTCATGGGGTGACCTTGGCTTCTGAAGCCCCTCTTAGCAGGGAGTTGTGATCACCATCATTTTACCCCCCTCATGGTTTTTGAGGTAAGATGGGGCTTAGAGAAGGAGCAAGAGAAGAAAATGCTTAATGGCTTAAAAAAAAAAAAAAAAAGGAAACAAAAAAACCCCCACCATCTATTGTCAGAGAGCTTGCTTGCTTTATGATTGCCTGGGCTGGACTGGCAAGGCTTCTAAGACGCTTCCCAGTTAATCACCAACCCCTAGAATTCATAAGTGCAAAATATGAGGGGCTCATCCCTTCAGGCAAAGAAAGCATCCAGTAAATGACATCTTTTCATCTTCCTGGCTCTACCCCTACCACTTCTGCTGTGGAGAAAGCTATGGCTAGGGCAGGAGCAGGGGACAGGTACCATAACTGTGGGACTGGGGAGGCAGGGGTTAATCCTGCTTTGTCCTGACTGACAGATTCTGGAATCATAATCCATTAGCTCTGCCTGGATGGAGGGAGGCCCGGCAAAGGATTCCGATTGGTCTTTGTTCTGTGTCTTTGCTGTCCCTGCCAGGGACAGAGGAGCTATAAACATGTACCCCTGTCCTCACCATGACAAAAACAAGAATCTTGGGGGCTATTTTGCTATTTTGGTTGCTGTTGATCCCAACACCCTCTCTCATGGGGGAAAATAATCAGTTTTAACAACGGAACAGTTTTAGCAATGAACCAAATGAAATAGATCATTCCCAAAACATCACTCTGAGGTTTGTGCCTGCCTCATTCGACTGGGTCTGGGCAGTTTCAACAAGAGTTTGCAGGAAACACTGACTAAACAGAAGGTGGTAAGGGATCAGATGGTGGGTGAAGATGGTAGTCAGGAAAAGCTTGGGATTGAGTTTTGGGACTAAGTAAACTTAATACAGGTACTGGCTATAATATGTTGTAGTTGTCGAATTGGTTCTGACTCATAGCGACCCTGTATAGGGTTTCTGAGGAGTGGCTGGTGAGTTTGAACCGCCGACCTTGTAGTTCAAAACAACCTTGAGGTTGAGTGCATATCCTATGGTGCCACATCAAACATACTAGCTGCTATCATTATTGTTGTTGTTAAGTGGCACCAAGTCAGTTCCCACTCATAGTAAGTAACCTGTATAGGATTTCTGAGGAATGGTAGGTGGCTTTCAGCCACTGAACTTGTAGTTAGCAGTCCAGGGCTTATGCTATAACACCACACCAGGACTCCATTTATTATTGTTAGAATGATTAATTGTTGGTAGAAGACAGGCTGTCTCTGTGAAATGTACCCTACCAGAGGGTCTTGTGGTCTCATGACGAGGTACCAGTACTTAAGCAGGAGGTCTATGTCTGCTCCCATAGGCTGCGCTACATGGTGAAGCAGTTGGAGAATGGGGAGGTAAACATCGAGGAGTTGAAGAAAAACCTGGAGTACACAGCTTCTCTGCTGGAGGCTGTCTACATCAATGAAACTCGGTGAGAGTGATGCACCTGGGCCACCAGGAGGGACCTACAGACAGACACAGTGATCCAGAGAATGGGAGTGCATCAGAAAGCTGGACAGACAGACAGGAAGGGAATGGGAGTAGTAGCTATAAAAAGCTCTAGGTAGAAATGTTGGCAGAGATAAAGAAGCATAGGGATAAACAGAGAGATGTAAAGATACAGATATGCACAGATGTCAGGAAGCAGAGAAGCCAGTTTCAGAACTGGAAGGGACCTTGTTGCTCATCTAGTTCCAACCTTCTCTCCAGCACAAGACTCCCTTTAGAGTTGCCCTGACCAATAGTTGTTGCTATTGTTATGTGCCATCGAGTTGGTTTTGACTCATAGTGACCCTGTATAGGGTTTCCAAGAAGCAGCTGATGGGTTTGAACCACCAGCCTTGCGGTTCAAACCGACTTTGCAGTCGAGTGCTTATTCTACAGTGCCATACCAGGACTAAGAGCTTGAAATGTGGCTAGCTGAATTGAGATATGTATGTAAATTACGCACTAGATTTTGAAGTCTTAAAAAAAAGCTATTTTCATTAATATATTTTATACTGATTTCACGTTGAAATGTTCATATTTTGGATTTATGTTAGGTTAAATATGATTTGTCATGAAAACAAATCTCAATTTTAGTGCCTTTAAGAAAATTTAAAATTATTTACATGGCTTGCATTTTCCTTCTCTTGGACAGTGTCGCTCTATAACTTCTTGACAAGTAGTATCGCATTGCCTGCTTGAATACTTCACCAGTTGGGATACTCATTAGCTCACTTAGTGACCTGTTTCAGATTTGGAGGCGTCAGATAGAAAAACAGAAATAAAAAAGATAAAGCGAGAGAAAGGCAAGTGGGAGTCAGAGACAGGAGAGAGTTGTCATGAGAGTTACTAAGGTGTGGGCGTGACTGGATACCTGCTCTCTCTCTCCTCTGTGACTCCCCTTCCGGGGTCTCAGGCAAATCTTGGATACCGAGGATGAGCTGCAGGAGTTACGGTCAGATGCTGTGCCTTCAGAGGTGCGGGACTGGCTGGCCTCCACCTTCACCCAACAAGCCCGAGCTAAAGGCCGGAGAGCAGAGGAGAAGCCTAAGTTCCGAAGCATCGTGCACGCCGTGCAAGCTGGGATCTTCGTGGAGCGGTGAGGTTTCTCAACTCCCTCTGCCTCAGCTGTGCCCCTCATTCCAAGCCACCTTGGTCTTCTAGGGCCCCATGAGTTCTATGATCCCATGTGCTCATGGCTCACCCCTCCACTCTACACTCCCACATAACCAGACTGTCACTCCCCAGACCTTCACACCTGCACCTCTTTTCCTTATCCTTCCTTAGGATGTTCCGGAGAACTTACACGTCTGTGGGTCCCACCCATTCCACTGCAGTTCTCCACTGTCTCAAGGTGATCCCTGGTTTTTTTTTGGGTGGGGGGGGGGGGGAAGAAGAGAAGATTGGGGGATGGAATAACCATGGGGACTTCCAGACTTTTTAATTGCATGATTTTTGCCTCTCCTTTTTAGCTGTCATTCCCATGTTCCTCAAACACCTTTTGCATGTTCCCAAACCAAACCCTTATGTTCTTATCTCTACCTTGATGAGAGATATCTAGGAAAAAAGAGACCCTTTTCTCACCTGCTTCCCAAGTCTCTGTACTCATTGTTGTTGTTGTGAAGTTGAGTCGATTCTGACCCATAGTGACCCTGTCTAGGGTTTCTGAGGAGCAGCTGGTGAACTTGAATCACTGACCTTGCAGTTCAAACGGCTTTGCAGTCTGGCGCATTAACCCACAGCGCTACACCAGGACTCCTGTACTCATTGGAAAGTTCTAATTTGAAGTCTAATTTCAACCCTTTCTAATGCTGAAAAGTTCATTTTGAGAACCTCCTTGCCTAGTCTATTGTTTTCTCATAGAACCTGGATGTCTGGTGCTTTGACGTCTTTTCCTTGAACCGGGCAGCAGATGACCACGCTCTGAGGACCATTGTTTTTGAGCTGCTGACTCGGCATAGCCTCATCAGCCGCTTCAAGGTTAGGCATCATTCTACCTGTGTCTCCAGTCAGGGTTCTTCACGCCCATTACTTCTTTTCTAAAAGCTTCCCAACCAAGATTCTGGAGGCTTCCTAACTCAATCTCCATCAGAGAAGAACCTCCTCTCCCTGAAGTCTTGCCTGTCTTTCTCTTCCTGTTGTCCCAGTCTCTGACTTTGTTTACTCCTTTCTAGGGGGTTATTCTGGGTCTGATGCCATCCAGCCTGGGATTCCCACCTTTGTCCTCTCTGCTTTCTTTTCCTAACTTGTCCTCCCAGGATGGTATGCACTTCACCTCCCCTTTTCAGCACTCCTTCCTGCGTGTGGAGACAGAGGTCTGGAGTGCAAATGCTGTCAGCTGGTGCCCTTTAGGACTAGAGAGTCTCAGTTTGTTTCCTCAGGAGACTCCTGCAGGGGACATAACAAAATTGGCCACTTCCTCCTGTCCCCAGTAGCTCTGGTCTCTGTCCAAGGAATGTTATAGAGAGGACCCTGGGCTGGGGCTCTATGAGAGTGTGTGAACTCCATTTGCTTAGCAGTTGGGCTAGCTAGGAAGAGGGATAGGGAATGGCATTTCCCTCCAGGCCCTTTGTTAGAAGGGAACATCTTTAGGGGGTAGGGTCAGGAAAAACCCACTTCTATATGGAAAGCTCTGGTAGTGTAGTGATTATGAATTGGGCTGCAAACCGCAAGGTCAGCAATTCGGAACTACCAGCTGCTCTGCGGGAAAAAGATGAGGCTTTCTGCTCCCATAAAGATTTACAGCCTCGAAAACCCTGTTCAGGGTCGCTATGGGTCGAAACCGACTCAACGGCACTTAACAACAACAATATGGAAAGCACACATTTAGAAGTGGGGAGGGTGAGGAGGAGGGGGGTGGAAAAGTCAGTAGGGATATTTGAGTCAGGAGTTCAGAAAAGGCTCACACACATTATAGTCTGTTTGTTATACTTCAGTGGGGCAGGCAGTAGATGGTAAAGGAATGTATTCTGAGGGAGCTGTAGAAGGGTAGGCAAGGTGTGAGTTGTAGGGTCCCCTCCCAGATGGCTCTGGAAAGCCATTCCATCCACCTTTCTGCCTCCACTTGAGTCTAACAGACTGTAATGTGTGTGAGCCTCTTCTGAACCCTTGACTCCTCACTGTCCACCCTTCCCAAGAGCAGTTCCAAAACTTCCCTGAGATGCTCCACTGGGATTCTTCTCAGTAACTCCCTGAGGCCTGTCCTATCTCCCCACCAATCCTGCCCTCTGCAGGATAGAGAATAACAGGGCGCTCATTTTCCTAAGAGTTTTCCCAGCTCATATATCTTCAAACTGGCTATCAGATATTTTCTAGATACAGCTGTACTTAACTCTGCTGCCTTCCACAATGATTGGGTTTTGGGTATTCACACAAGTAGCTACATGGGGTTGGGGTTGGCCCAGCCTGTTTGCCTGGCTTCAAGGCACTTAGAAAAAGAAGGGCTGCTTATTGGTTTAATTTTCTCTGGTGGTATAGACCTTCTCAAGTTCCACATTCTCTTCCTGGGCATCTAGCCCCTCCCCTGCTCCTCCCCTCCCCTTCCCTTCGTTCTAGGGGTGCCATGGCAACGCAAAAGCAAGGGCAGTCGTTATGGAAACAGTCCTTTAAAATTTCCTGAATTTGGGGCACAGCCCTCCAGGGGTGGGGGATGTGAGGGTCTGATAGATGAGCAGAGCACCTTCTATGTTTTCTATTGCTCCTTTCTATAGAAACTCCCCCAAGTCCTGAACCTCAGTCCCTTTCCAGTCTTGGGAGATCCAGGGACAGGTGAAGAGATCAGCCTTGCTCCCTGGGAGCCTCCATTCATTTAAAGGAGGCAGACATACCCAAGGACATATGTAGAGCCCTGGATAGAATTGGAAGTAGCTGGACAGAGTTCTGAGCTCTGGATCTTGCAATGTGTGTGTGTGTATGTGTGGTGTATGTGGAGGGCAGGTGGTCAGGGAAAGCTTCTCAGAGGAGGAGGTGCTTTATATCTGACTGGAGAGGTCTTTTCCAGGTCATCGTATCCTTTCCCCTACTTCTGAATCCTTCTTGCAAGGTATTGAATTTGGGAGTGTGGTGGGCTGGTTGGAAAGTAGGAAGGAAGTTTTCCTTTTCTAAAAAGCCCTAGGGAAATAAGGATAATTATAGCTACTCTTTAGAGAGCACTTACTAAGTGCCTTGTACTTATCTCATTAAATTCAAGGTAAGTGGCATTATCCTCATTCTGCAAATAAGTATCTGAGGCATAAGGAGACACAGGACTTTCCCAAGGTCACACAGTCAGCAGGTGGTAGAGTCAGGCTATGAGGCTAGGTTCACCATGCAGGGCCTGTGCTCTTTCGATGCCACATTACCTTCTAAAAGAAGATAGTTTGGAAGAGCTGTCCTCAACCTCCTGCCATTCCTGCAGATCCTGAATCTATCTCCATTTCTTTCCTCCTCCTGCAGATTCCCACTGTGTTTCTGATGACTTTCTTGGATGCCTTGGAGACAGGCTATGGAAAGTACAAGAATCCTTATCACAACCAGATCCATGCAGCTGATGTTACCCAGACAGTCCATTGCTTCTTGCTTCGCACAGGGATGGTGGTAGGTGCCCTGGAGATAACTGTTGTGATTCAGGGTCCGATGGCTGGACAAATGGGGGTCTAAACTATACTCCTATTTCTGTGTTTCCCTTTGATTCTTCCCCTTTGGCAGCCTAAAGTCTCTATACAGTCAAATTGGGTTGATTCAACTCTAGAGGATTCCCCAGTGACCACAACTTCCTGGGCAGTGCTGGGGATGTGCTAGGATGCAATGGGAATGCTGCAGGTTGGGATAGAGGGAGGTTTGTGGTCATTCTAGGGGTGGAGAAAGATGGCTGCATTAGCCCAAGATTTGACCTTGAAGAGTGGAAGGAATGAGCTGAATGGTCTTCCCTGAGTGTGGATGTCTTTAGGTAGTGACTGGTAGGAGGTCAACCCACACTCATCTCTCCATTTCCTCTAGCACTGCCTGTCCGAGATTGAGGTTTTGGCCATCATCTTTGCTGCAGCAATCCATGACTATGAACACACAGGCACTACCAACAGCTTCCACATCCAGACCAAGTGAGGGGTGGGGATATGGCAGGGGCAGGGGGGCCAAGTGGAGATGTGGGGATTCCAGAGTCCCCCTCCTGACAAGAGGCTTGACTCTGTAGGTCAGAATGCGCCATCCTCTACAATGATCGCTCAGTGCTGGAGAATCATCACATCAGCTCTGTTTTCCGAATGATGCAGGATGATGAGATGAACATTTTCATCAACCTCACCAGAGATGAGTTTGTGTGAGCAGAAGCCAGGACTTGACATTCCTAAGAGAGCCCTGCACCCCACCCCCCTACTTCCCACTTCCAGGACCTCCTGCTCAGCAGTAGTGCTGAGGGGGCTGGTCCCTTCTCTGGTTCTGTCCATTCAGAGAGCTACGTGCCCTGGTCATCGAGATGGTGTTGGCCACAGATATGTCCTGCCATTTCCAGCAAGTGAAATCCATGAAGACAGCCTTGCAGCAACTGGAGAGGTAGCACCTGATGGGGTGTGGCTGGGACCTGGCCAGAGTGAGTGGTATATGAATTGAGGGCATTCGCATTGGGTAATTGGCATGGCAGGTCTTTACCTGGATGTAGAAACTCTCTTGTCTCCAGGTATTTGAGTGTGTCTCTGTGTGAGTGTGTGTGATGTGTGTGTGGCTGTTGGCCTGCTGGAGAATGTTTTGGGCTTGGGGTCTAAGATTCTCATCCCAGCTTCAGGACAGACTTACTCTGGAATGTTGGGAAAACTATTCAAATTTTCTGGGCTCCAGTTTCCTTACCTGGGAAATGTTCAGAATAATATGTGTTCCCCCACAACAGCTTGCTACTAGTTCCTACTCTAATAGGGTTATTGGGAGAGTTAATGTGAGGTAAAAAGCAAGCATAGAACAAATGCCATAATTACATATACTGTTGCTTTAAAGTGGGTGGGAGTGTATGGATGTGTGTGAGAGAATAGACTATGTGTCCTGCAGGTGTGTGTTGGTCCCTGTGTGTGATACTGAGGTGTGGGAATGCATTCACTCTTACAGCCTGTCACTGTTGGGGTGTGGGTGATAATAATAATGATCATAGTAATTATAACTAACATCAACTGAGCACTTACTATGTGCCAGACATGCTTTTGAATATTTAAATATTTGTGTCACTTAATCCTCTGAAGAACTCTATGTGGTAGATTCTGTTAGTATTTCCATTTTAGAATCGAGGAAAATAACACAGAACTTTTAAGCTACTTGCTCAGTGTCACACAGCAGTGGGGATTCGGATTCAGGGTCTCTGAATCTACAAGCCTGGGCTTTTTAGTCACTAATCCATAAGCGTAGAGGTTATGAATCGGGCTGTGAACCACAAGGTCAGCAGTTTGAAACTACCAGCAGTTCTGCGGGAGAAAGATGAGGCGTTCTGCTCCGGTAAAGATTTACAGCCTCGGAAACCCTGTGCAGGGTCACTATGAGTTGGAATCGACTCCACGGTACTTAACAACACCAACAACAATCCATAACGAAGGGCTTCAAAAAGTTGGTGGAAAAATTCCATTCTCTGTTAATTCTGTTTTTCCACTAACTTTTGTTAAAAGAAGTGCAGCCAGAGTGCTCCTTGGAGGCCAGGATGGCCAAACTTCATCTTTCATACTATGCACATATTGTCAGGAGGGACCAGTTGCTGGAGAAAAATATCATGTTTGGTAAGATGGAGGGTCAGAGAAAAAGAGGAAGACTCCCAATGAGATAGATGCATTGGCAAAGTGGCATCATCAATGGGCTCAAGCGTGGCAACAGTTGTGAGGTTGGCCCAGGATCGGGCTGTGTTTCATTCTGTTGTGCATAGGGTTGCTATGAGACATTATTGACTTGATGGCACCTAACAAGTATATTTGTGTGTGTGTGTGTGAGAGAGAGAGAGAGA